GTGCAGTGGCTGTGAATTAAGTATGAGTTTAATTACATCCATTATTAAAAAAATATTTTAATAATTGTCCTTATATTTAAAAATTAAGAAATAAATTAAAAAATTTAAAAACAGAACATATATAAATATATATATATATATATATATATATATATATATTCTCTGTATATATGAGTGTTATTAAGATAGATTATTAGGAGAATTTTAAAAAACAGCTTAAATAACTTTTTCAATTTATAAATATTTTTACAGTATTGTCATAGCCTCGTAAAGTATTTTTAAATTAAAAGTTTTTTCCTAATTCATATTTTAATTTCTTATACTTCAAAATGACAACATATTATTTAAATTAATTCATTTCTTATGTTTTAATTTTTAATCTTTTGATGAAAAAAATATTTTAGTTTCATAATTTTTTAATTATTTTTTTAGCAAAATATTTTTTATTTATTCATAATTCTTAAATATAATAATTGTATAATAAAATTTTCTATTTTGAGAGGGATAGATAATCCCTCACAGAATGTGACGGAATTTGTGACGGAATACAATTTTTAAAAAAATTTCGTCACAAAAATATTCATTAAATTTTGTGACGGATTTTTGTGACGAAATATTTAGAGAGGAATCAAAATCCGTCACTAAATCCGTCGCAATTTTTTTTTTATTAGTGACCCTTTGTGACGGAATTGTTAGAGACGGAAATTTTTCTGTCATAAAATCCGTCACAAACTTCAAAAATAAGTAGTCCGTCACAAAAATAAAATTTTCATCACAAAAGTCGTCACTATTACTGATGACATTTTATCCGTCACAAATTTTCGTCACAAATTTTAATTTTTCTAGTAGTGTGAATCTCTAGTACATTACAACTTTTCATTTTTCCATTTTTCATGTGCATGACCTCTTTTAAATTATCTCTCTCCTTACATATGACATATTAAGATAATTAAGTAATACTAATGAATAAAATATATTTATTTTGTGTATTCACTAATTCAAAATACAAATAATTAGTATTTAGTTGTTTTAACAAGATTTAATTTATCAGCATGTTAAAAACATTTAGTTTTCACTTTTATTAGGTTAATTATTTTTTATAAAATGGATGAGATTACTTAGACGTGACGTATTTTTGAACTTTAAAATTATTGAGACACACGGTGTAACAATGTGATAGTCTTAAAATCCTTGAAAATAATATATGATATAAATTATGTTCTCTATTCTAAGTCAAATTTTATAATCTATTAAAAAAATGATTCAAAATTATAACATCGAATAAAAATTACTTGAGTGTGACATTCTTCTAATCCTAGAGTTTAAAGATATAAGTTGTAACAACTTATTATCTTTCCCAAATTAACCAAAAATATAATTTGAGTATTAAAAATATCGCCATAACATTATGCTAAATACTAAAAGGTACTGTAACAAATTTTATTAAAAAATGATTTGACGCCATGAGTAAATATGATAACAATAATTACAATCAAAATTAAACATTGACTTTGGTGTATACCTTTGTCAATTTTATATTTCAAGATTTATGAGTTTAGACAGCTCAGAAATCTTAAATTAAATTAAGAAATAATTTTTTAAAGAACTACGTGACTCTGATTCTCCATTTTACATGGAGATGCTTAGGAGCAAAACGTTTCTCCTGTTGAGCCAAAAAATAAAAAAAATAATATTATCTACTTTTACATCAATAATAATAATAATAAACAATTTTAATACTCAATTAAAATAAAATAAATGCACTTGTTGAATAAAATATATTTTTGATTATCATCGATAATTTTTATTAATTTGGGGTGAGATAAATATTTTAAAAAATTATCACTACTAGAATTTTTTTTATTACATGCGACTTTTCCTGCGAATTTTTATGAAAAATTCGCAGAAAACGTTGTTCCTGCAAATTTTTCTGCGAAATTTTATCTGCAAGTAATACTTTCGTGGATAATATATTTTTGCGAATTTTAAAATTCACAGGAAAGTTTCCTGCAAAAAAAAATTTGCAGGAAAGTTTCCTGCAAAAAAAAATTCACAAGAAAATTTGCAGGAAAGTTTCTTACAAAAAAAATTCGTAGGAAAATTTCCTGCGAATTTTTTCGCAAGAAATTTTGTAGGAATATTTTTACAAAAAAAAAATTACTATAAATTCTATCAATAATTTTTCAACTTTCAAATGCTCACAATGAATTCATCCGAAGCATTTGTTTCCATGCCTCCAACATGTGATACATAATCTTTTAAATTCTAAGATTGCAGATTATAAGCTTAATACTCAACCATGCAAATCAACTTGTAAGGTAAGTATTGCCCCAACTTATATACTCTTCAATTGTTTTATTTTCAATCGATGTGGGGTTTGAAGTTTTTTTAAAAAATTACTTATAAATTTAAATATTTTTTTTTATTTTTCCTACGGATTAAAATTTGTAGAAAAATTCGCAGGAAAAGTTACCTGCAAAATTTTTCTACTAATTTAGTAAACATTACTTGCGAATTTATTTTTGCAAGAAAATCTACAAGAAACAAAATAAAATTGTTACAATATTTTCTGCAAATTTTTACCATGAAAATTTTTTTCTATGATTATTAAAATTGTAGCAAAATTTGTAAGAAATATCTGTAAATTATTTTTCGCAAAAAATTCCTGCGAATATTTTTTTGCAGGAAAATTCGTAAAAAAATTCTGTGAATATTTTTTTGGAAGAAAATTCGCAAAAAATTTCTGCGAATATTTTTTTACAGAAAAATTTGCAAGAAAATGATACTTTTCTAGTATACTAGTTTGCTTGATTAATTAGAAGTAACTGACTTTATGACAGACATTATAAGATATTAATATCTTCCTTACACGTAACCGAACTCGAAATCTGATTTCATAAACCATGTTTTTTTTATTTTATGGTTTTTCAATATTTTTTCCACAAAAATAAATATTAGTAACAACTCCATATTTATTAAAAAAAATTATTTTGTCGTCCCATGACGACCAAGATTGCTATAGCGACACCAACAAAAAATGAACAACCTTTCAAAACCACTCTTAGAAAAGCATAATCACTAGACCACTTTTTCTCCAAATCAGAGACCCGCGTTCAAATCTAACATGTAACGAATGATCCTGATCTAACCACGGAAATGGTGATCACTCATTAAAGCATGCAGGAAAATCATCACAAGCATGCACCATACGCCAATGGCTCCGTCACTTAAACTCACTAATAATTCCTTCTCTCCTTTAAAGCTCAGAATTGAGGGCTTATGTACCTCCTAGCTTCGACAGTCTAAGTCGAGCTTGCAACGAGCTCGAAGCGAAGCAATCCTATCAACTTGTCACATTAAATTGGGATAACAACTGAGGAGGATTCTATGTACCATATCTCTATAAATCTTGAAATACATTAAAAAGCAACACATCACGGATAACGTCTCCACCTAATAAATGACATGCATAATCAGAGGGAATACACCCATATGTACATGTAAAATCATCTCCTAAAATCATGAAACATGATATATCTAAGATTGATCACTTATATATGGGACACTAGGTATTATTCAAACTCTAAACTTATTTTAACATAGACTCTCATTTTTAACACAAGACACTACTATAGGTATTGAAGCAACAAGACACTATCACCAACTATAAATTATGACAATAATAATTATATATATATATATAT